AAATCACAGTACAAAGTATTAATTTACACATAAACATCAATTAACATGGGTGTTAGTGGACCGTCCATCTCTAGAACTGGGTCCGGCAGACGGGTAAATCCAGAACGCTACACAAGGTTTCCCTAATCGCATCTGTTTGGGATAAAATTTTGCCACGTCTGGGAGGTTTAAAAGCCATAACCTAGAATAAATATGGATCTGTAACAGCCCTTAACGCCTGTGTGCCCTCATATGCTCACAAAAAAAAAAAGCTTTTAGCTCCCCGAGACTCTCTGATGGGAAACCTGTGTGTGCTGCTTCCATTGCTGGTCAGTTTGTACTATCGGGGAGGAACAGAAGTCAAATGAACAAAAAGCAAACGTTGATGTCAGCTGATACCAAAAAAAAATTTAATACCAAAATGCAAAAGTAACCCAAAAACCCAAAAGACAACAGAAACATGGAGCGAATGAAGGAAAACAGTAAATAAACACAAAAGACTTACAAACCACAGAACACAGGGACGATCACATGGAGGAAATAAAGGGCTGGAAAGAAGACACACGATGAACTGGTTGGGACCATGAGGAAATGGGCGGAGCAGGAAAGTCAATCCCACACAGGTGCAGCACATCAGGCGGGGCAGGTGATCACACAGGTGGGAAAGCAGACAAAGACCAGGGAGTGTAAAGACACCGGAGTTGAGATGACAGCGAGTAAAAACAGAAGACAGGTGATGCCAAAACAAACAAGACATAAATGAAACAAGAATTGACAGCAGCAGTCGGACGTGACGGTCACACTGATACAAGTCCGAAAAATATCAATTAAAAACAACAGCAGGGACGATCAGGCCTAAAATGACTTCATATGTACATGAAGCAATAACAAAGTGTTCATATTATTTTACATTTTCATCATTGATTCTTGGCTTATTCCAAATAATGATTAACCACAAGAGAGGAGACAAGGATGACTAATTAGAAACCATCTATCCATCCATCATCTATACTCCGCTTAATCCTCACCAGGGTCATGGGGGGCTGGAGTCTATCCCAGCTGACTCAGGGTGAAGGCAGGTTGACCTGGACAGGTAACCAGTCTATCACAGGGCTACACTTAGAGACAGACAACCAAGCACACTCACATTCACACCTACGGACAATTTACAATCACCAATTAACCTCAGCATGTTTTGGACTGTGGGAGGAAGCCGGAGAACCCGGAAAGAACCCACGCTGCACGAGGAGAACATGGAGACTCCACGCAGGAAGATCCCGGTGCCCCCACTGGGACGCAAACCGGCAACCTTCTAGCTGCGAGGCAACAGTGCTAACCACTGAACCACCTTGCAGCCTAATTAGAAACCTAACTACTAAATATCTATCGTGTGTAGTGTGAAAACATTTTTCCAGTGTCGGTAACACCTGTGGACACAAAATCACATGAAGAAAGAAAAAAATGAGACAGAAAGCCATAGAGATATTAAATGACCGAAACAAGACCAACAACAAGAGCGACACACAAAATCACAGAAGGGAGACAAAGACGGGAAGCAAACACAAACAGACAACATTCTTGGAAAGAGACATAAAGGGAGCAAAACTGTCCCAAAGAGGCATTAAACGACCAACGTGAGAAAGCAAATACTGCTGCCTCTCAGAGTTCGTAGAGGCTGTAAAAATTTCAATATTTATCGTACGTGGAGCTTCCATCTTATTCCAGTGTCGGTAACACCTCTGGACACGTGTGTTGGACACACTGATGTCAGGTTTTTTTTTACATTTCTCATAAAATAAATAATTAAACAATTACTTTTCCTGATTTCTGTCCTTCTAGATGGGGCGCAGCGCTTTAAACTGCAGTAAAAACGAGTCCACAGTGAAGAGAAATTAAGCAAAAACACCCATAAACTGCTTAGAGTTCAGATTGTTATTACCCGCTAAACCCGTTCCGTGTTTTAAGACTCCTGTGAGATGCTGCTGTTGGGAACATCGCGTGGAGCTAATAAAAGGTAATAAGCAGCTTTAATCTCTGTTAAGAGCTCCATTGATCATGTTGTCTTCATTGCTCCTCTTCCTCTTTTTTCCGTTGTTTTCTTTTTTCTCCTTTCGCTGTGCGTCGTTGTCTTTGTGTGTTTGTTGTTGGATGAAAAATTCAATAAATAATTGATCAGGACGAAACGGCGAGCTGAGAGTTCGATGCACAGCAATTAGACAAAACACATGAAAACTAATAAAATGTTATCGACGACTCTAAGTGAGAAAACAAGCAAATGGAGAAACGCTGCAGCAGCACAGAGTACGAACGAGGGTTAAAGCAACAGTGGAAACTAAAAGGTGAGAAACACGACTGACTGTGTAGCTGCAGCCTGATTCTGTATCTGTGGAGGTTGTTGGTTGGGCACAGAAAACCCTCAGGTCTGATTGTGGTACTAAGAAGACTAAAAGGACAGAACCACATGGCCCTCCTGACATCTTTCGAGAGTGTTTGAGTTAAAACTTCACATGGTCACTGTTTTGTGTGATTGTATGATGATCATTAGGCTAATCTGGAGACACTCCAGCCATAAAGGGCAACTCATGTGTTAGATATTGTCTTTCCCTGTCTGACATGTGGAACAGTTACCAAAGATGAAAAGATCAACAGCAGATTATTTGAAAAAAAAAAATGTGGAGAGAGATGGGTCTGACTTAGACATCCATCCATCCATCCAGTTGAACAGACAGAACAGCAAACACACTTTTGGCTTCCTATAATTAAGTATGAACATTAACATAGAAAACAGTCCATGTAGATAAAATCACTTCTGGTCAGTCGAATCTGACGGCAGAATGAGTTACTTCATTCTTTTCCAACAAAGCTGTCTGGGTGAACCGCAGCATTTACTCCATCCTACATGTGAGGCATTTAGGGAACATCGGTATGTACTGTAGTAGCATCTACCAATAGGCAGATGTTTATCAAGTGAGGAGTTTAACCCGACCACGATTTAGGGCTGATATCAGAAAAACAATGTTGACAAAATCCATGTATTTTTGTCTCACCAAAATCACTCTATTCTATGTGTCTTGTTTTTTTTTTGTTTTTTTTTTTAAATCTCCCAAAAACAAAGCATTAGCAGCAGATTCTACAAAAAACAAAAACTCATATGTGACCAACAGTGAAAAATTCCGACTGAGAGGAAAATAAAACTTAGTGGATCAATAAAATGAATGCAGCACGGCTTAAAAACAGCACACAGAGGAGCAAGTAGTTGGAAGATGCATTCAGCCTGGTGACACATCTTTCTGCAGCTGATGTGCAGAGTAGAGTGAAAACGTTTGTAGAGGCTGTAAAAAATGTAAATAGTTCAATGTCTATAGTATGTGAAAACGAAACAACGACAAAGAGACACAAAACAAAAAATAAACTACAAGGTACAAAATGACAAAGACGAGACAAAACGACCACAAAGAGGTAAAACTGTCCCAAAGACACAAAACATGCAAAAAGGAGAAACAAAATTATAAAAAAAAAAAAAAAGGGTAAAACTACCAAATACAGGCACAAAGTGACCACAAAAAGACTAAAGTATCCCAGAAAGACAAACAATGACCAAAATGAGACACAACACGAGAAAAACGAGACACAAAATAACAGAAAGGCGACAAAACTGTTTCTGGAGGCTATAAGAAATGTAAATAGTTCAATATCTACAACTGTTGTACGAACACAACAGTTCATCAGGATGCAAGTTGGATTAATAGTTACGGCAATGCAGCACCTAGATAAGGGTGTGGAGGGTGATGGTGCCACTGGTGGATAAGTTGGTGTGGAGCCCTGCGTCAGCGTTACCTGGCAGTACTCTGTGATGATGCAGAAGGCGTCTCGCTCCAGGAAGCTGTGGTGGAAGCTGAGGATGGCCGGGTGGTGCAGCTGGGACAGCAGCTGGGCCTCTTGAGTGGCTCGGACCGTCTCGTCGGGCCGGAGGTCGCCCAGAGGGATCTGCTTCAGCACCTTCCTGCAGGGAAGACAGAGGTCAGAGGTCAAAGAGTCAAAGAAGAAAAGTAAAAAAAAATGACCACAAAGACACGAAAAACCATCACAAAGAGACACTAAA